AATGTTTGGCATCTAAGCTTCACATCTCTGTGCTCCTGGTGTCTAATTTAACTCACAGTAGCTCCCCCTTGTCCTTTCTCTTCTGCAGGATCAACACACTGTGGTAGGCCAGAATACAGGCCCCAGTCCAAGTCCCAACTCCTGCTCGAATCCAAATCCTGCAAGTGGTTTCATGAGCAACCAGCAGTCTCTGCTGAGTCAGCAAATGATGGGGAAGAAGCAGACCCTGCACAGGCCAGCCATGGAGCCCAAGCAACAGCTCCTCCTCCAGCAGCAGATGCTGGCTGACTCGGTAAAGCTACCTCCTAACTTCTCTGTGTGAGCTTCTTGACCTTGGAGAGGTGCTGTGTCTCTTTGTCCTTCTGTGCCTTGCTGTGTTCTCTTATCTACTTCTGTGGCAGTAATGAGGGTGTACTGGAGGCAAGAGAAACTAAATCCCACGCATTTAAAATGCAGGGGAGAAAACAAACAAACAAAAACAAGAAAACCAACCCTGATTTACCAGCTGCTAGGCACGAGGAGTACCCGTCCCCTTGATGACCAGCCCTGCCCAGTTCAGGAATGCCTGTGACCAGCAGGGCCTTTGAATGGAGTGAATGAAATCTCAGTTGTTCCCAGCCTGGAGGGCTGGAAAGAGTGAACTGCGCTTTCATCATCCCAACTCCAAACTGATTTTTAGAGGTGAATGAGCTTTAAAGGGAATTTTTAAAGGCTAGCAGGAGTTTCACCACAAGATTTGGCTTCCCAAAAAACAAAGCATCTCAGAATTTTTAAAAAGATATTTTAAATAAGTGTCCACGTTCACCATATTGACCCAACCTTTTAATAAGCACAAGGCTGTTTCCCAAACACCAGACAAGCTCTAACCTTGCTTCAGTATCTTATCTACCCACTCCTCGGTAGCCTCAGACAGCCCACCACATCTGACCCAAACTCCACTGCTGAAGACTGCCACACCCTCTCCCTTCAAACTCCCCAGCCCAGTGAAACCAAAAGGGACAAAGCCTAAAAGTTCAGAGCTAATAGACCCAAGGAGAAGGGACAAGGCCATGAGATGCAGCTCAGTTGCAGAGTGTATGCCCAGCATGCATTAGGTCCTGGGTTTGACTGCCAAGATGAAAAAAGCCAATCAAATCATTTTATACTAAAACAAACAAACAAACAAACAAACGAAAACATTTTAGAAGCATCCAGAAAGGTCAAGTGTTAAAAACACCATGAATATTCAATGAATACTGAAAGATCATAAAAATATAAGCCACAAACAAGCCCTTGTTGCCCTAATGGAGCCCAACATCCACTGTGGGCATCAAATAAATAAGCTGTTGTAATGCTTATGCTTAAATGGTATGCTGTAGAGAAATTTCTACAGAGAAAGGTTACATCTACTAAAGATCAGAAGGTGCAGAGAGAGCTGGGAGGGAGGAAGAGTGGGATGGTGGGAGGGGTCCTCCTGGCCCAGAAATCCAGCACTCTCAAGACTCAGGTACACAAAGGACCCACATACTGTCAAGGCACAGAGCATGGTCAAGGATAGAGAAGTGGAGGACACAGAGGCCAGAGGAAGAGGCTGGCTAAGTCACACTGCCTGAAAGGCAGTTGAAGAAGAAAGAGGAGGAGGAGAAGGAAGAGGAGGAGGAGGAGAAGGAAGAGGAGGAGGAGGAGGAGAAGAAGAAGAAGAAGAGAAACACTGTGTTCAGATTTGCAACCAACTAAAAGATAGAGGCCGGTAGGAGAGCTCCAATTTGGAAATCTGGTAAATCATCTCCCAAAATGAGTTAAAATTTGGCTTTGACATGGTAAGACAATGGTATTCTGATAGAAAATGTGGAGTTCACCATTTTAGGCAGAGGGCTGGTCAAAGACCAAAGAGGCAGTCCTGGCATGTATTTACTGGTTAGTTTTAGATAAACTAGGAACAGTGTAGCAGCCACAGGTGTCTTTAAAGGAATGGCAAGAGTCAGTGAGCACTTAAGCTCCAGGTGTCTGAGATCCGTGGTCGCAACTGTTTCTTCCGCCTCCCTAGCTTTGTCCTTTACAACCTGAATAGCCTAGAAACAAGACTGAAGAGGAGAGAATGCGCCATTTCAAACAAACTTACTGGCAAGACTTTTATTATTCCCAGTGACACTGTAAATTTGATTAGTTTTACAAGATAGAGCTTCCGGGGTTTCTGCTTCTGTTCAAAGCCTCTGATTAAAAGTGACACACACATTCTTGGGGGCCTGGCCATGGTGCTGGCCTGGCTCCCATTGAAGCCCTGTTGAGTCTCATGGGACAGGTGCAAAGGGCAGTGGAGAGCTGAATGGGAACGGAGCTGCACTTTCCGTGCTTCTTACAAAGCATTCACACTTCTCTTTGTCTAGATGCCATCCAGGCTGCCCGTGCTCGTTAGCATAGCCAGGAAGAAGCAGCCTTTGGTGCCTCTTTCCATTAGCATACGCTTTGTAGCCATTGAAGGCCTTGGCAAAGCCAGATGGGCACCTAAATAGAGGCGTTTTTTTCCATAAAAGTTTGTTAGTCTTTCGCTCCACGCTTCTCCCAAAATGACACACGCAGAAGGTGAGATGAGTAGCCCTTATTACCCTGATCATCATTGCTAACTTGTGTTATACATCTCCTGTGTGCCAGGCACCATGCCGAGGTTTTGCAGAACAATAGGACTCATCCTTACATGGGGAGTATGAAAGAGATCCTAGAACCTCCCAAATCTTGCATTTTTATGGCTAAGGGAACCAAAGCAAGATAGATACCACTGAAACAAGAGAGGCTGGGCCACGAAGAAAGCTCGTTTCATTTTATACAGAGCTAATTTCAACGACAGGTGTGAGTTTACCCTGGAGCCTCATTGTAGCTTCCTCTGTTTAGTGTTGGCATCCAAACTTCACTGGTCTTTTAGCATGCCAACATAGTCTCTGCTGTATCTTCAGACAACATAAAGTATTAGGAAACTCGGGGTTTTAGAGATGTATATGCTAAGGCTTTGAGCAAATCAGCTGGTCTATGTGAGAAAAGCCCAACTGCTTAAGATGAAATAAATCTGGGTCTGAAATATAGTGTGTGGCTGGGAGTAAAGAAACGAATTGTTACACACACACGCACACACGTGCACACACACACACGCACGCAGTTACTATCATACAAACAGCAATAACACCTAATTACATATGAAATATGCTTCTTGGAAAAAAGATTTCACAAAGTTCCGTTCTTGGCTTAACAATCAAAACTGTCAGTTCACACAAGTGTTTACAATAGGGTTGCTTGCTCACCGCCACACTGAGTTGGTGGGAGACCCCAGGCTCTTTCTTAAACAATTAGGGTTTTGGCAACTCCCCCCCCACCAAAAAAAAATAGTTTTCCTTACTTTGTAAGCCCATGTTTAAAAGAAATGTAATCCATCTGTTTCTGGTTCATTTACACTTAGCTCATCAAAATTATGTTTTATAGGAATTACTTGGTGTTCAAAAACACTCTATGAGTTTTTAAAGTTTGGTTTTTTCTTAGAAACAAAAAATGAAATTGGTTTGTTGTTATTTTTAAGGTCCTCTCCTGTCCGTTTCAGAGAACACACATCCCACTAAGAGATCTTAGAGCTGAGTTCAAGCAAATGAGGTTGAGTGGAGCAGATGTGCTTGGCTCCGGCTAATGGCCTCATCTGTCGGTTACGGTTGTCTATGTATTGACTTTCCTATAATTACTGTCTTCTGTCTCCACCTATGCCAATTATTCTTATCTTTAGAAATGGATATTGCTTTATAGTGTATACAGAATTGCACTGAAGCCATTCCAGAAAGTTTCCAAAGCACACCAAGAAAGAAAAAACCAGCAGGAATCCCTGTCCCAAGCTGTTAGGAGAGGCACAGCTGGGTATCTTGTCCTTTGTATAACATAAAGTCTTGACACGTGCCAACTCAGACAGGGTTATTCTGGTGTCATGATAAACCAAGAACAGACAGGTCACTTGATCATTTTATCTAAAAACAGACAAGGTCAAGATGTGACCTCTCCAGTTAGCGTCCTAGCTACTCTTCCATCAATCTAGGACAATGCTCCACTTCCCTAGGTCACCCAGGCTCTCTCAGCCCTCCTGAGAGGACAGTGCTCCTCAATGCTCCTCGCTGCTATGAGTAAGGACGGCGGTGGGGTTATTCCTGAAGGTCGGTCGAGACATTGGCAGCAGTCAACAGCGTCTCCATTTCCTCTCTTACCACCCAAACTCACGTACTGAAAGAATCTGAGGATGATTTTCAAACAGAATACTGAGAGGCATGAAGGGCCCTGAGTTCCTGACTCTGGAACTGGTATCTGCTGTATGGCTGTAGGCTCTGGGAGGGCAAGTTACTTAGCCTAATGATCTTGCGTGTCCTCTTTTAAATGAAAATAAGCAGCGTTCCCTTCAAAGGTTTGCTAAGAGCAGGTAGAAGAGACACCTCGTGCATATGGTGCCCACATCAGTACCCGCAAGGTTAGTAAGTCTCATGACAGCTCTTCCAAGGAGAGGTCGCCAGATCAAATCATTGAAAGCCAGGTGTGCTCCATTTTACCTGGCAAACCTTTCTCCAGAGTCTATGACACCAAAGCTCATAACGCAACATGCAACAACATAAAACAAGAAGTACCACCCTGAGCCCACATAATTGAACCCCGTAATTGAAGTCTAACTACAAAATGAAGGAAATGAACATACTCAGTAGACACAAAGCAAAAATCTGTGGAGGAGATGAAATGGCACTTTCATAGGGGAAGTGATTCAAACGGAAAGATCTGTCTCTGAATTGACACTACCACATAAATCTTAATCCAAACCCATAGGACAAAATATTTCGGTTTGTGAGATACAAGTTCTCACTCTGTAGCCCACACTGGCTTCAAGCTTGTGATCCTTCCTGCCTCTGCCTCCCGAGGACTGGGATTTCAGACATGCACCACAACGCACAGACTAAATTCTTCTTGTAGTTGTACCTTTTTGAACATCGTACAGACGCTTGTAACTGAAGAAATGTTCACTCAATTCAATGTTTTCGTTTGTGTTTTCAAGGAGAAACTTTCCCCTCAGGATCAGATGAACCGACACCTGACAAGGCCACCCCCGGACTACAAAGACCAAAGAAGAAATTCGGGCAGTTTGCAGCCAGCCGCTCAGTATTCTGGTGAGAGTTCTTCAAAACGAATACAAATCATAGCTGTGAAAAAAAAAAAAAAACTATTAAAAACCTATTCCATTTCTCCTGCTTTCTCCCCCACCTTGGATAATACATCTGCTCCGCCCTTTCACTGTCCCCCACTGAACATCGGACACAGAGCACACAGAGAACTGGCCTCATGGCTCACGCTGTAATCCCAGCACTCAGAGGAGGAGGAGACCTGGGACTTCCAGTACAGCCTGTGCTACATAGTAAACTCCAGGCTAGCTCAGATTAGAGTGTGAAATTCTGTCTTCATCCCTTCACCCTCAAACAGACCACACTTTGTTCATTCATGAGTTCTTGCTTGTCCATGTTCTGTGCTCACGCGTTCACTACTCTCCGTGTCTGTGCTCACGCGTTCACTACTCTCCGTGTCTGTGCTCACACGTTCACTACTCTCCGTGTCTGTGCTCACACGTTCACTACTCCCCTAATTGTTTGTGAGAATTTAAAATCCCGAAGGTTTTCTAACTCCTGTGTTCACGCCTCCTCCTCCTCATGTTGACCGTGACCCAGGCAGAATAAAGCTAGGTAGAAAGAGCTCCTTTTTGGAATACCACCTGGAACTTGCATAAAACCTCATCTTTCCTCAGTCTCCCTCAGAACCCGTCCCCCCAAGTATTCTCCATGAGAAACAAATCACCCTGTCAACCAGAAAAATTAAAAAGCAAATTGCATTTTTTATAAAGAAAAAGAAAGTTTGTGTTTCTTTTCAAGTCACAAATCAGAGCTTTTTACCTACTCTCTTTCTCATGAATAGGACAGGTGCTTATGGTTAAAAAAAAAAAAAAAACTCTCTTCAGAAGTTCTCTGAACCCCAAAGAACCTTCCCCAAACCTGGCCCATGCTCTTCCTGCTCCCTCCTTTCCCCCAACTACTCCAGTCCCTGCTGTGGAGAACTCTGATTTCTCTTGCTACATTAAGTTAGTATCTTCAGTTTCTCGACTTTTTTTTCTTTCCATGTCTCCATCTGTCCAAGAACTCATCAAGAATATTCTCCAGACAGCAAGAGGCTGTGGTCACTCCTGTTGCCACCTCCTGTCCTGCTACAGATATGCTAAATCAGTTTCCGTAATTCTTTCAAATGTCTGAAAACGCAGCAGCTCATCTCTCTCCGCTGAGATTAGAAATGGAAATATGTAGTCCCTCTCCTGAGATGATTTTGTTTAAATGCAAAGACCGAGTCCTCAGTTTGGTTGTGCTCAGAAACAATGTAGCTCTGATGTGGATCTTGGCCTTGCGGGCAAACAACGGGCTTTAGAGAACCTGTGAGACTTGAAACAGTATACAAATTTTTAGGTAGGTGTTTAGGATTTCTTTTCCCGTTCTTGTAAAAGAATCTCTCGGATGGGAGTCCAGAACTGAGGAGCTGTCTCCACAGCATCGCCAGAGGCCGGCTTCTTTTGCTTCCTTAGCATGTGGTTCCCATCCTAAGGGCTGTCCTGTAGCCACCACATCAGGAACTTGCATGTCTATTTTTTAGGCAGGGAGAGGAAAGGCAGAAAGGAGAGGAGCCTCCTGCAGGAGCCATGCCCCCTTGTAAAGCTGTCTCCAAGGACTCTTGCCTCTCACTTTCACCTCAGGCAGAAGGTATTCCTGTGGGCTTTCCCTGAGCAGGAATCTCAGGGTGTGTGCTTTCTCATGGGAACATACTGCAGTACATATCAACACCGAGTCTCAGAGGGAGACTGTGATGGGCAAGGACACCCACCCAATAGCTCCTTCCGAATAAAATGTGTGCATTTCCTGCGAAAAGTCTTTGCATACCGCTGCCAACTCAAAGAGGACAAGGGTCCTCTCTGGGACATTTTACTTCTTGTGCCTTCTGAGACTAAAACAAGCAACAAAAAAACAAAAGAAACTCGTTCGTATTGCTTTAAATTTTAACATCAGTCCAGAAATAATTCTTCTGGTGGAGACAGAGATTAAGTCCAGGGTCTTGCTTGTGTTTGTTTCAGCACACATTTCCCCGTTGAGTTATCCCTCCACCTTGGAAACTTCTTATACACATTGCACAGTAGAGAAAGAGACTCCTCCTGCCCTGGGGGTCTAGTTGAGTAGAAAAGCAGAGAAGAGGGAAGCTAGAGTGGCTTGGCCTTGTCTTTCACGTTATACATCATACCAGCAGGGGAATCCTAAGCGGTCACCTGTGGGCATTCTCTTCACACAGCTCCTAGTTCATCGCTGTGTGCGTGGCTCTGTTTCAGTATCTTTGCGAGAGTAACTTCTCTGGGTTTCATTCTTCCTTCTGTCTCCTTTATTATATCCTTCAAAAATCAGTTGCCCACCAACCCTGTCAGTACTAGACCTGGAATGCGGCCTGCAAAGGAAACAAGAGGAAATGCCTACCCTTGTGCCGTCTCTGGCAGCTTTTTCCTACAGCTTTGCTTTGCAAGCTGATTTCTCAGGGTGACTTCAACCTTAGCGAGCCAGGGATATTTCAGTGCATCTGTTAGTCACTGTCTGTTGTATGGAGCCACCTTGTCCAGCATCCTGGGATCCAGATCTGTGCCCCATTCAATCAATTGTTGACAGTTTGCCTGTCAGCCCTTCTGAGGCTTGGTGGACTGTCCTGGTGCTCCAGGGAAGAATCAAACAGAGAATGGCAGCCAAAGAAGTGAGACTAGGATATCAGGAAGAGCTTCAAACAAGAGCTTCAGGCTTGGTCTGAAACCTGAAGAAAATATAAGGATTGGGGGCCTAGGGGACATCACGGGACAGGAGACTGATGAGCAAGGGTGGCTGGTGGGGTGTTCAGTAGCAGTGCAGTAATAATCGCACACCCTCCAGTAGGCTTCTCAGATGGAAATGATCGCCAGAGCACAATTACATCAAATACCAGATTCTTAGAGATGAGATTTTGTTTGCCTTCTGGATGCAGGAAAGCCACTCATAGCAGCTCCTTGAATAAAGATGATGCACATAAGGAATTAGACATGCTTTTCCAGGTCACAGGTTAGGAATATTAGTGTAGTCGCCATGAGTAGGATTTACCCCCACATATACTTGCTCATTTGAACCCTGGGGTGAAGAGTGGCCTGGATTTCACGACAGCTAGTAATCAAAGTTGTAGTCTTCTCAGCTGGAACATAATAGAATTCAAAATGAAAGACTGATTATCACCTCAATGACTTCAGAAGGCAAATAAAATAAAAACTATAAAATAGAACCATTCGATCTCAGTCTTCTTTCTGTAGCGTGTAAGTGACCTAGGCAGATGCTCTCCCAATTCTCGTCTCTTCTTTCTGTGCACTGTACGTCATACGTTATTTATTAACCAATAAGTTCTTGTCGGCTGCAGCAGGGGATGCCGTAATAGCATGAATGAACGTAATTCTCGTCTCTGTCTTAGGTGGCTCGTCTACGGTGAATATAAACTCTAACCAGACTTTGACAAACCCAGTCTCAACACACAGCCTTCTGACGCCCAACTCCAGCCTCATGCCGTCGACGTCTCACGGGATGAGAGTGCCGCTGCTGTCCACAGCAGTTCAGAGCATGGGAGTGTATGGAAACCTGCCCTGCACCCAGCCCACCACCTTCAATGTCACTTCAGCAATGAACCAGCTGACCCAACAGAGAAACACGGCTCCGCTGATAACCAATCAGAACAACCCCCTGATGCCACGGCCATCTCCCTTAGGGGCAAATAACGGTAACAGTGTGGCCACCTTTGCAGCCGGAGCTGTTGGCAGTTCACAACAACTGAGGCCAAATTTGCCCCCCAGTTTAGCAGGCATGCCAGCCCAGAGGTCATCCACCGTCATGATCACATCCAACACGACAGCAGCAAACTGGGCTTCTCAAGATGTAGCAGCGAAACCACAGGAAGCCCTCAAATCCACAGGAGTCCGCTTCCCGACAGGTACACCTGCAGTCTATACCCCAAACCAGTCATTGCAAGCGGGAGTGGGGAGCCAGCCATTTTCCCAGAGGGCGGTGGCGCCCCCTAGCCAGTTAACGCCAGCAGTACAAATGAGACCTATGAACCAAATGAATCAGGCACTAAATGGGCAAACTCTGGGTCCACTCAGGGGTTTGAACCTCAGACCTAGCCAGCTGAGCTCGCAGAGTCTGTCTAATATGAATCCGTCAGGAACAGGATTGAATCAGGCGCGGACAGGCACCAGCCAGCCACCATCCCTGACGCCCAACGCTTTTCCTTCATCCAACCAAAGTTCCAGGGCTTTTCAAGGCACTGACCACAGCAGCGATTTAGCTTTTGACTTTCTCAGTCAGCAGACTGACAACATGGGCCCTGCCCTAAATAGTGATGCTGATTTCATCGACTCTTTATTGAAGACAGAGCCTGGCAATGACGACTGGATGAAAGACATCAACCTTGATGAAATCCTGGGGAGCAATTCCTAAGAGAAAAGGACGCCGGTTCGGTTCGCAGGCTCCAGGCAGTATTTGCCAAGGACCCTGTAATGCTAAGTTGCCGATCAGCATCCCAGTGAACTCAGGCATCCAAATGGAAAGCTGACAGTAATCACGGTGATCAACATGCTGGTTCGTTCTTGTTTCAAAAATCCAGAGCCTGATATTAAAACATTGGGATCGCTTTTCCCTGCCTGAGCATCAGGACGTGATGTCCAGTTTATCCAAACACAACTGTGATGTTGGTGTGTAATTAATTATGTCAAACGGTCTTCCCAAGTTCCTTTTCTCGGTGAAGGAAACACAGAGGAACTTGAGACTTGTTTCAATCCCGTATCGCAGACAGGTGTTAGTTCTAAGCAACAAGCAGTAGACTGCCATCTGCTCTGGTAGATCAGGATGCTTAGGTTTCTCCACTATCTTCTCTTTTACTTTTCCTAAAACTTGCAGGAAAGATTGACATGTTCTATGGTTGTTTGGAGTAACTAAGAGAGCACCAGAGAACCAAGCCATCCAGCAGATTAGACGATTTCTTTCCTAGCTGCAGTCCTCATTTTGTAGTTTTCCCACGTGTTTTGTATTTTGGTGGGATGCTGTGTCTCGTGATGAAACAGGAATGCAGGACTTGCAGCTTGCATGAGGCTTCCCTGCTGACTGCTAAAGCTAACCAAGACTTGTCCCTTCACCCCAAAGTATCAGTGCACAACTGCCTACATCAAATTTCACTTAAAAAATTGAGCTTTGCCATGTAGGAGACACACATGGCCACAAATAACCAGAGATGTTTCTAGCTATGATTGATGCCCACGGTTGTGCTCAAGCAGAATAAAACTGAGCCTCGACCTCCTATTTTTTGGTAGCCTGAGACTTGTTTGTAAGGAATGAAGGTTTGAACTAGAGTGAGATTAGAGCGTCCTATTTGGATTGGAGATAGGGAACAGGAGAAGGGTGTGAGGATTGGCACAGAGCCTTTTCACAGAGTGTAGAGGAAATCGTAACTGAGACAACAGAGCCTTCCTTGGACACAGCACTTGGCCTTGGGTAGACAGCTGAGCCCAGTGTCATCTGAGTGTAGTCACTCTCCATGACACAGGGAAGTTTTGCCATATGCTGTCTGGTCCCTTCTTATCCAGCTTTCCTCCCTCAGGGCTAAGTTTTGTTGGGTCACTGAAGCCCAGTGTCCACATCTATGTCCACTGCAGAGTGGAGGAGGTGTGCAGGTCCGAGATGGCTCTGAAATACCACCACCACTAGCCTAAAGCCAGAGAATCGAAGGCCACCCGCAGCCTTTGAGCTAGACAGTCACACACTTAAACATCAAAGGTGGTTTAACTCAAGTTGTTTGAGGCACCAAATCCTCACCAATCTGTTCAGAAAAGGAACACATATTTTAGAGCTCTGTATAGCCCTCTTCTAGTCTTTACGACGCCTCTGGGCTCTCGCCTCCCGATCCACTGCACCAAGAGCGCTGGCCCAGAATCTCTCCCGTGCTGATTTGTAAATAGTAATAAATTACTTGTTTTTGTAAACTTTTGTAAAGAATATTTTGGTAGAAATACTTAAAACATATTCTTTGGATTATATTTATACATATGTGAAATAAATATACTATCGAAAGGTTATATTTTATACAAAAAGTAAATTGTTACCTTTTGTATGCTAATATACAAAGTTTTGTATGATACGATGGTTTATTTTTAGCTCTACACTTACACCGTAGTGATGGAGTGGAAACTTTTAAAAACTACCAAGAGGCTTGCTAGATGAATTTATATTCTGAAACCTCCATGAAAGCATTCCAGGTTTCCATCCCGCCCTGTCGTCGCTGTGTTTTCCAGCTCGGAATTCTTTATCAAGCCCATGGTTCTCGCGTCTTATTTGATTATTCTGCTGTGCAAACTGTATTGGTCCCTGTAGCATGTGTTCCACCGTGTGTTTCCCCATTATACAAAACAATGTTTCTCCATGCAGAAAAAGAGGGAAAACACTGTGTATATAAACATGCTTTTTTTGTGGCTCCTCCAGATTACTGTACAGATCTGCAGGATTTCTCCATTGCAGCCCCGTGATTCAGCTTGTTCTCACCCCAACACAAACAGTACAATTTGTAGCAGCTGTCCAGTTGTTCAACTAAGAGGCAACGCAAACAGAATGGCTGGTTTTTCTTCTATCTTAATGTGAATTTCATAATTAATGTGTATTTATTCAGCTATTCATTAAAATACAGGATTCTTTGTGGGGTGTAATCTATAGTTTCTGATTGTGGTTAGCCTATTACCAAAGATGATGTAATTTTCCCAAAAGCTGAGATAATGACAGTTTGACAGACACCCTTAGCAGAGCCTCAGGATTTACAACGTAAGAGCTATTGGGACACAAACTCCCATTGATAGAAATGCCAGACTACTTCATTGCTGACATTGCTTATCATCCTGACACACAGCAGAGAAGGCAGGAGTCATTTTTCTTTCTTTTTTTAAATTCAGAGACACAAAAGTAATGTAGGCAAATAATTCCTTTTTGCCTTTGTATTCAGCCCAATGAAATGAGTCACCAAGTGAGGTGCTGGTGTTACCTGCATTGCCGTCCTGAACCCACGAATGTAAAGATTCCAACTTGTAACACGAGTATTTTGTATTGTGTGTAATTTCATGTGTAAAAAAAAATAGTTAAAACATTCAGACGTGGTTTTCTTGTATGGAGTCCATATTGTCGGTCACCGATGTTATCGTTACGGCATTACAGTTAGGATAACCAAAGTTAACAGCGACAGGTACATATGCACAAAATTATTATTTTTAAAGATCTATTTTGTGCTTTTTAATTATGTGTATGTGTGGATATGTATGTGTGGATGCTGGTGCCTGCCAAGACTGGAAGACGCCCTGGAGATGGAGTTACAGGTTGATGTGGGACCTGAACCCAGGTCCTCTGAAAGGGCAGTGAGTACCAACCACTCTTGTAGCTGCTGAGCCCTTTCACCAGCCCCCAGGAAACCGTGTTGTGCAGGGAGCTTTAGATAGGCATAAAATGCACACTCATCTCTTTTCAGTGTTGCTCCGTCCACTTAAAAAGCTGGGATTCTAGATGTTGGAAATTTTCTATGCAGGGCTAGGGAGATAGCAAGGTTGGCAAAGTGGCTGTGGCAGGAGGGTGAACATTTCTGTCCTTAGTACTCACGTGAACATCCAGGAGTGGTGGTGTACGCCACTGACACCAGTTCTCAGGAGGCAGAGGCAGCCAATCCAGCTCAATTGGTGTGCTCCAGGCCAGGGAGGGATCCTATCTTCCAAAAAGTAGATAGGGAATATCTGAAGTCATTGTCTGAATTACACACACACACACACACACACACACACACACACACATCAACATGTACACACATGCAAGTACATATACAGGACTGTCATGCACAAAAATAAAATGATAAAATTTTAAATGCATAACACCCACTTGGCACTGTGGTCGTTTGTCTGGCCTGACACGTGGCATCTGGTCACAGACTGTATGAACACGGCACAGGAAACACACCTGACTGTGTATGTTTACACAGCCTTCTGCAGAGCCTCGGTACTCTCAGATCTCCTGCCCTCCTAATTATGTTGTTGAGGTCCATGTCCTTTCCCCTCATCCAAAATGGACATGTATGATACAGCTATTTTTACTAGCTTTATCAATGGCACCCTGGTATGATGTAGGAGGGTCATCTGTCTATGTGTTACTTTCATTGGTTAATAAAGAAACTGCTTTGGCTTTTGATAGGACAGCAGCTTAGATAGGTGGAGTAGACAGAACAGAATGCTGGGAAGAAGGCAATGAGGCAGATGCCATGATTCCCCTTCCCGAGATGGACGCAGGTTAGAATCTTCCCGGTAAGCCACAACCTCATGGTGGCATACAGATTATTAGATATGGGTTAGTCAAGATGTGAGAGTTAGCCAATAAGAGGCTATATATAATGGGCCAGGCAGTGTTTAAATGAATACAGTTTCCGTGTAATTATTTCAGGTAAAGCTAGCCGGGAGCCAGGTGGCGGGACGCAGCCCGCTGCTCCTTTTGCAACACTGGTAAAATGGATGTCTTATGTGGTCCTGTCCCAAAGAATCTGGAAGATTGGATGGAAAACAAAATCAGCACCAATAAGAAAAAATAATAACTGGGTGTAGTGCACGTCCGTCATCCCAGCACTTGGGAGGCAGGGGGATCTCTGTGAGCTAGAGGTCAGCCTGGTCCACAGTGAGTTCCAGGGCAGCCAGGGCTACAAGAGGGACTCTGCCTCTAAGAAGAATAGATAATAACAGCATCGCTGAGGAGAAAGAAAGACAGCATTGGGAACTTCCCTCTGACCCCCAGTCTCTAGCCTTAGAACAGGATCTGAAGAGAACGTGGGAGTGGGGATGGGAGCAGGGATGGGAGCACAGACCGCAGACGCTTCCGTGATGGGGGCTAAAGGCAGGGACAGTTTTCATCACCTTATCCACACTGGCCATTGTGTATGCACACGACTGGGTTTGGTCACCCAAGAGAGTTGGGGGCATGGTTGAGGTTGAAACAAAACGTCCCTACTCTCGAACTCTGTGGCTGATTTTTATTCCACAAGACTGAAGGAGTCCCCTGGAAAGTCTCAGGAGCATCCGTTTTAAGATGAAGAAATCAGTTGCTCCTCAACCTTTAAGAAAATTTCAGGTTGTTGGTCAACTTCATGCACACGTAACCATCTCCTTTAAGGCTGAATCATAAGCAAGAATGAATCACGAGGAGGCCAGATGGAGGCAGCAGACAAGCAGGGAGGCTGTGCTGACGCTCACACCCTGACCACGCCCCGAGGCGTTTGTGAGAGGAGGCACCAGCTGTCCACTGTGCTATGAGATTACAGTATCTCCTAAAGGGAACCCGACTGCCAGGGCAGAGAGAAACACTACTTTGTGTACCTATCAGATTCTTGTCACTTTGACAAAAACACTCAGGGAAGCAACTTAAGAAAGAAAGTGTTCGCTCACAAGGTCAGAGGTTTCCATCTCTTAGGAGGGGGCGTGGGCAGCACAACTCAGTCAGCAGCCATGATGCACAGGGAAGAGCACCCCATCTGCTTTCCCCTTTCTCTCCTACTCCTCCCAAGTCCCAGCCCTTAGGATGAGTCTGTCTCCTTGTTTACCCCATCTTGAACATCCTCACCCAGAAGTGAGCTTTGCTAATGTCCCAGGTGCTTCTCACTCCAATCTCCGTGACAATCACACATTTGTCGACTCCCCTAGTTAAACACCAACAAATGTTTGCGAGTTACAAACAACTGAGGAGGAGAGTTCATTTTCTTTTCTATTCTACTCCATTCTGTTCCATGCCTGTTGCCTGAGTCTTGAACCCACTAAGTAGAGTGGATAACCTTGAGCTTTGAACTTGGACCTTTCCACTTCCACCTTGAAAATGCTGGTTCACAGCATGCTCCACTATATCCCTAGTTTTTCTCAGTGTTGGGGATTGAACCCTGAGCCTTGTGCATGCTAGACAAAGATTCTACCAACTGAACTACATTACCAGTCCTTTTTGGTTTTGATTTGAAAAAAAAAAATCCTTTAAGTATCATTTCTGAGTTCCTGACAGTGTGCGGACAGTGCACTAGAGCCAATCTGATTTGAAGTTGTAAGATATCTATCGCCCTGTACTACGAAAATTAAGAAAGCATACTGACTTTGGAGTTTTGAAACCACCTCGTGCCATCCCTGGCCTGCATGCAGCAGTGACAGGGGACTTCCATTTATACAAGTGGTATTTTAAGTTCCCCGTTTGACAAATGTAAGTGCTTTTCTGTGCCAAGATGTGCGTGAATACATAGATGTATTTAATAGTGATTCCATTTTTTTTTTTGTAGAAGAAAGAAAGAAGGGAGGGAGAAAATGAACATATGAATTACTCTTCAGGAAAACAGAATTATTCAGTGTGTGCGAGAGAGAAAGAGGATAGAAAATGCATCTCACATAGGCTCAGAGGACGGGACTTTCTTGGAGGCACAGCAGAAATTCCGAGGAGATGATAGTCTCGGTTGGGGCTGGTGATCCAGCAGTTCTCTCTCCCCTCTGCTCCCTGCGCCTAGGCTACAGCCTGGCTGCACTCCTTTCCTGATGGCAGGAGGGCGGCTAGACATTCTAGACCTACATCCTCACATCAGCACAGACAAGAGGGAAGTTTCCTCCCGCACAGCCTCTGCCTTGGCCACCCCCTGACTAACTAAGCCACGCCTACTCCCTGAACAGAGTTGTGTTAACCTTACCCAAACCATGCGGGCTGAGAGCAGGGAAAAGGCGACCTCACAAAGGAAGGTCAAGGTTTTCCTATCAGAAAAACAAAACAAAAAAATCCACATACTTCCCAAATGTCTGCTCCTTTCAGCTGCCCATCTCCGTTCACACCTTCCCCCACTCTGCCAGGTTTTAAATCTCGCTGATAATCTTGACAGCCCCACCTCCTCCACTGCCACCAGAAGGAGGTCTTCTAAGTCTCATCGACTTGCTGCATCCACCTCCCAGTTCAGCACATCTGAGCCAGGCAAAGTCTGCTGCCAGGCTGCACCTAACCAGCGACCTGCCCTAAAAGATGTCTGCACACCCGACATATGCAGCAGGCATGTGGGTGTGTGAAGAATGAGGAGTTGGACCATGTGGTTTGAATGAGATGTCTCCATAGTCTTAGGCATTGAACTCCTGGACCTCAGCTGCTGGCACTGTTTTGGGGAGGGTGAGAAGGGGTGGCCTTGCTGGAGGAAGTACATCATTGGGGGCCTGGGGGCCGGCCTTGAGCGTGGAAAGACCTCTACCATTTCCAGTTTTCTGTCTCTGCTTCAAGCTCATGGTAGAGGACGTGAGCTTTCAGCTTCCTGCTTCTGTGTCTGCTGCTTGCTAACATGCTTGCCTGCTGGGTTGTCTGAACCCACACACCCAAATAAACTTTCCTCTATTAGGCACCTTGGTCCTGGGGTTTTAAAACAGCAACAGAAAGCTGACAGAGAAGAGAAGTTAACTTGCTTTAGCCACATTCCCCTGAAATGATTTGCCTTTGGGCCTTCAAATCAACAGCCAGGAGAGGGAAGTATTGGGCCTTCCTGCACCCCTATTTGCTTAGGGTGCATGCCAGATACCTTTTCCAAAGGGAATAACTGTCCCTTCTATGTTACTGCCACCTCATTTACTCTGTGCTTGGGGTGGCCAGGGAGCCAGCGTTCCCGCCGTTCTCACTGGCAGAATTCCAATTTCTCTGACTTGGTGCAATAACCTTCAGCTGGATACTCAGTTCTATTAAGGAAAACAAAATCCCCTCAATGTTTCAGGGGGCAGAGATATTTTAATATAGAAAGTTGGGTACTCAAATGACAGGCAGGTTGGAAAGCCATAGAAGGGCTACCCAGACATCGCAAAAGAGGAAGCCATTACAATTCCCAAAGTAGAAGGGCACAAAGCTCGGGACTGAGTTCAGTTGTAGAGTATACTTGCCTAGCCATATGGAGTCCTGAATTTGATGCCCAACACTGGAAGGTGGAGGCAGGAGGATCCAGAGTTCGAGGTCATCCTCAACTACACAGCGAGTGCTAGTCCAGCCTAGGCTATGGAAGAGACCCCATCTTAACAAAGGACAAAAGGAGAAGAACCCAGGATTACTGGAGAGGCGTAACTTCATCAGCTGTCCTGCTGGTGGACTCAGGGGGGAGCTCAGCTGCTAATGGAGATGTCACTGGTAGCAGAGGAGAAGCAATGTCACCTCTATCCCACTCTTTCTTCTTCCACTCTTCAGAAAACTTACTTCATCTGCTGAACTCCACTGGAATATCAGTGTTCTGCAGTGAGGAGACAAGCCAGGAACGAGTCTGCCCAGATGACGGGCTGGGCTCAGCCTCAGGAGCCTGCAGACACTGGGTGTCTACTCAGATTGCAGACCTTGAGCAAAACCTCGCTTTCAGCAAAATCTGCTGAGTAAACTCCTTCTGTGCTTTTGGATACATCAACTAATCTCAATCTATTTATTATGAAATGATACCACTTAGGAAAAAACAGTTGTGAGTACATGACCCCCCCCAATACACACACATGGTTCCAAGAAGAGCATGTTCTATTTCACTGATGCCAAGAAGACGTTTGCCATGTGTATCTACGGAGCTAACTATCACTCCAGGCCATGTGAGGGAAGACACCACGTTATTGTATCATGGTCAACTCTTATTCATTCTTCGTGGGATGGCTTTACAGTAAACAGCATCTTTGGTCTGGCGACATGCAGTGTTTGCTGGATGCATCAGGCGTCCCTGGGGGCAGTTCTGACTCGCACAGTGCTCCAGCTCTGGTCTGTGTTCCAACCTAGAAGAGCGAGGACAAGGGAGAACTATCACAGCAAACAGAGTTGTTGTCTGTAGCCAGCCTCTGCCTATCACCTGGGAAAGACAGCCAGTCCAGAGACCTCTTCAGTCACGGCTGTTTTGTGGCCTTTTGGGTTTTTGGGGAGAGGCTGCATGGTAAGGATTTAGAGTCATTTCCACCATAGTAAAGGATTGCAAGGAGAAAGTGGTTGTAAATGTAAGTATAAAGACATACCAGGGATACGAGCCGTGAACTCTAGATACTGATGTGTGGTGGTAT